AACAAGGTGTCATCCCACCATTACGTCCGTTATCGAATAGGTTTTCAGTTAAATTCAACAGGCGGTGAGGGTCTGCAATTGAATCTTGACTAATTAAAGAGCTTAAATTGAAAATCAGTGAAAAGTAACTCTTATAGCCAGACATTTTCAAAACCCGATGTAAATAATGTAAGTCATCATTTAGTTTGTTTATTTTTGACAACCTGTTATACAAAACAATAAATGAATGCTCTTCGCTATTATTAAGTTCTTACTCTGTCCAATAAGTTATCATAGAAAATGTCTCATGCTTACCAATAAATGTGAGAAAAATTCTAGACTTGGCCAGCGAGCTATTTCTTGCCTCTAGAAGCTAAATCAAATCATTGTTCCTCGAGCCAGCTCTTCTTTTAAAAATGAGACATGAGAAGGTGCTTATTTCTATTTATTTTTAAAATTATAATTAAGCGCCATGAACCCAGACTTTATTTATAGAAGTTGTGATAACAGATCTTCTGAATCCTCTATTGAAAGAATGAAAATATGAAAAAAAAAACGTCACTTGAAGTTATTCACCATCAACTGCAAGCGGTGTTTTTCACCGTTTTTAAATATTACTTTATATCTTTTAATGATTTGCTTTCCTTCTAGCTCGATATAAACTAATTAGGTCTTTCGGATTAACTAGTACAAGCGTCAAAGTATCCGCCCTCCACCCCTCCATGAATACTTAAAGTTAAAACAAAATAGTCCAAAAATGGTCTAATGGTGCAAGGGTCCATTGGCCCAGTCCATAGTTTATCTATACCGGATAGCAAGGATAAAATGTGTAACCGTCATAACCAAGTTGGCCACAAGGCAAAACAAATATAAATATACAAATATTCCAACACTTTTAAAAGGACACAATATAGATAGGAAAAACTGTTATAATTGGTTAGTTTTTACAACCTACAGTTAAAACAAGTCAAATTTTTCGAATAACGGCCTAAAATTTCGGCCAGTCCGAACAGGTCCACACGCTACGTAGATTCTTTTAATATAGCGCATGGGCAGCGCAACATCCCTTTATTAAATACCTGGGTTTTTAAGTACTATAAACTGAGTTGATGACGTAAATCAGCCACCGTAAAAAGTTTAAAAGCTGACTTTTCGAGCGTTAGCCCTTCGTAGACGAAGGGCTAACGCTCGAAACGTCCGCTTTTAATCTCTTTACGAAGGTAAGTTTACGTTCCTTGAAATGTTCAATCTTCTGCTGTAGCTCTCTCTCGGTAAAGCTTCCTAAAGAGTCGGTCACTCCCAACAAAAACAACAAATACTACTACTACTACTACATGACTGAGTCCTTATGGACATTCGCAAAATATTCTTTAACATTCCGGAACCTTGTAACACACCTATTTTGGTAGTATTACATCATGACTACGTGACTAAACAGTTATCACACTGTGACATCACGAACACAGTTCTCGTCCCCAGTTTCGTGAAACCCTTTTAAAGGGAAATTGACCGTATTTCGGCCGCAAATAAAAACCAAATAATTTTTTAATTTTTTGCCATTTTCGGGTAATTATTAGTTTTTTTATTATATATACCAAGGAAGGAAAGTACGCAAAAAAGATTGGTTTCATTTACACTTTAAAACTGAGTTTTTCCCAATTCATGAGTATAGCCCTATTAACCTAAGTCTATGTTTCGCGGGGTAAAATCAGGGAAAACTTCGGGGAAGTTGAAAGACTTGAGAGGACTTAGATAGGAATAGATGTACCCTTAATCTTAACTCTTTAGGAACACGTGAGGCGGGTAGCCTCCATCATTTGTGTTGGTGTATGAGGTCTTCTTAGAAGGATCTGTACACTCAAAACATGACATAGATCCCTCCCACCACTCCATTCCCAAACAGTTCTCTGCGCACATCTCTTTGCACTCGTCTGCTGTTATTCCATTTGCAAGCCTGGTTGATCTTCCTGCTCCGGTACACCACTGAGGTGTAAAGTGAAGCCAACTAACCACATGACTCGGAACTGAAATTATAAAACATCAAATACTAAGTTAAAGGTGCGAGCCTGCCGGTCAGAAGTCACACTTTAGGCCTACCCCCTCCCCAGGAGTAAAAACTGGCAACGGCGACCTGTCTAGGAAACCTGACTAAATACCGGGGGGTAACCTGCTACAGACTAGCCTTCCATCCAGGGAGGAGACGTCCTCCAGTACTCCTGAGTTTTGTGAACGAGTCGGGAAATGTATCTCATTACTGGGAATAAACTCTATAAGTCCTACTTCACAGGCTGAGAACCTTGAGCGGACTGAGCATCAATACACTCGGAGATGAGACTGCTCATCCACACCTTGAATTAGTTAAAGTAACTCCCAGTAGAAAGTCGAACGTAATTCATAATTGTATGTGTTAAGTTTCCTTTTTCCTAGGCTTTGTTAGCGACGATATTCTCTGTCTTCTTTTTAAATTTACCGTCATAAAGATCGTACCAATATTAGATAGATTAAATGTTGAAAAGTGGCTGGAAGAATGAACTGAATCAGACCATACTAGTAATTTTCATAACATTCTAAGTACCAATCCATACTTACGTGTTTCACAATGCTGTCCAGTGACATGTGATGGGCAACTGCAGGAATAAGAATTTTCTTCATAGTCAGGAATACATGTTCCGCTATTCTGACAGGGCGAGCTCTCACATGGCGACTGTATCATAAAGAAAAAGATAAACATCTTCTTTTAAGTCATATTTTAGGATAAAAAAGGTAAGTAAATAATTTTAAAATCGTTTACTTCTTTGTCGAGGAAAATTTCCATCTGTTGCATGCCCTTACAATGCGTATTTACTCAAATAATGCATCGAAACTTTCTTCTCGATACAGGCACGAATGTAAATGTACTACTAATTTTTTTTTTCTCTTCAAGGTTCTGATTATGAATTCATCATAACCTTGGTTGTGTAAAAAAGAAATGGTTTAAGTCCATAGTCCTTGACCTCATTGGGGAGCACTTCTCAGTATTCAGGGTTTGCCGCATTGTTCTATAGCAAAAGATACTTTTCATAAACTCTTTTACAGACCTGACCTTTGAAAATGGCTGTAAGGGCATTTTTTATGTAGCATTGGCTAGATTCGTTGGAAAATTCAGCTGAATTATATATTTGGCCATTTCTCTTTCTATTTTTTTGGTTTGGAATTGAAAGAAAAATTATTCTTATCAAAACGGTTCAAAAACTAGGTCCTTTGGGGCAGCATTGCCTAAATATCTTATTTAGAGGAGCATTCCCTCCAATCATTCTTTAAACGTATCTTGCTTTTCCATACCTCGTATTGTATTGAGGGTTTGACTAATAGTTCTCATCAAAGGTATAACATTCAACGCATAAAACAGTGACAGAAAACATGAGAAAACGAATGATTACACTCAAAACTGAACTGATCTGAGTGAAGCCTTAAAAAAAACTACTCACCATGGGGCTAAAATGATGGAAGCTAGAATTCGCTTGAAGTCTGTCTTTAGCTCTGTACTTGTCCGTGGCCAGAACCTCACATATATAGATGCCATTAGAGTCTGGAGATTTTGCTATATTATATGACAAACATTTGGAATCCCCAATACAGTGGAATGAACACTCCAATGCATCTTCCAGAAAGTGCGACTTTGTTAGTGTGACTAAGAGGCTTTGGTTTTGATTTGATTTGAATTTTCCATGTTTCGTTTTGTAATCTCGGTAAAGAGAACTTTGCACATGTGTCTTAGCAGTGATCGACAAACACAAGACGCTTAAGAAAACAAGAGGTATACAGTTAGCCATCGTAAGTCTTGATGAAATATGGTCAATCTTTCTGTTTTCTCGTCGAATCTGGTCGCTCACGGTAAATCAAATGGGACACCTGTTTTTTTTAAGAAGAAAAATTATCATGAGTTTATGTTTATCAAAATAACCACAGACTCAAAAGTTAATTAAAATGATTTGAATAAGCAAACATATTTTCGGTTAAAATTGAATGGATTAGAGCGTGAGATTCTGCACTTGAATCTTTCCCAATGAAATAATTTAAATTGAAAATGTAAAGTAATTCTAACAGCTAGACATTTTCAAAAACCCGATTTGATGGTGCTAGTCTATATTTTTCTTTACTTTGTTATTGTTTGTAATAGGAGTGAGTTTAATTTTTTTTAGGCGCATATTAAACAAAACGCTGAATGAATGCTCTTCGCTTTTGTTAAATTTTTACTCTGTCTGGTAAGTAATTATAAGGAGAATATCTCTTTTCCTATCAATATGTGGGAGAAAAAAGTAAACTCGGTGAGCTACTTCTTGTGTGTAGATGCTAAAATTAATCGTTGTTTCTGGAAATTGCTCTCCCTTTTAAATTGGGGCGTGAAAAAGATGCTTATTTCTGTTTATTTTGATTAGAAGTGTGGGCCGCATGAATCAATAAAGAAATGTGTTTAATTGGGATGCTTTTATTTTGTTGCACAAAAGTGCTTTCCCTCTGAAAAATGAGGCATGATAAAGATTCTTATTTCTTTTTACTTTAATAAAGTGCACGCCATGAAACCAGTCGACTCTATTAAGAAGACGCTGTTCTTTATCCTCTGTTTAATTAAATCCAAGAGGCTCCCAAGGGGAGGTTATGATAGCAGTTGGTCTAACTACTCAATTGAAACAATTCTGGTAAATCACTGTTGGTAAGATGTGGTAGATCATAGTGAAAAGTTGAAGAATTTTCACAAAAGCGCTCCTTTCTTGTGCGAGTTTAGCAGTGCGCAACGTGCTTGAGGTGGATAAAGTGGTGCTAAAGAGGCAAAAAAAAAAAAGCCTCGAAATAGGTACAGGGGGCCAATATAATCTCTCTTCTACTAAAGCCATATTGTGAAAGTGGTTAATTCACAGTTATTTGAGTGAATCAAGATCAACGTGCACCCCTCTGATGATTTAAGGCCAAATCATTCTTTGGTTGATGTTTTTTCAGTTTGCCCGCTACAATTCACCCACGACTCATAAAAAAATAAAATAAAAACACAGTTTTCAAAGTTTATTCTAAACTCACATCTTCCGCATTGCTTACATATCTCTTACAAATGTTTCTTCGCTTTAACACGACGGCTTAATTATCTTCACTGAACCTTTCACGTGAGCCTTGAAGTCGTGCCATTGAAACACGTTCCCCACCCCTGTCAGGCACGACTGCGACATGCGTGCGATTTCGTGGTCAAGAATCACGTGATTCCAGATATTGACACCTGTCATTTCACCAATGAAACTTTGAAAGGATTGAAAGGATCCCCCCACTGAGTCTTGCTCTTGTCCTAGTACTAGGGCTCCTCCACCACGAATTACATGACCTGTCAAACCACAATCGGGAAAAAATATGGAACTTTGTACTATAACACTAAGTATAATAATTCAAGTTAGCTTTTATCTGACTGAGCAAAGAATTAAGACACATAAACACCAAGGGACGTTCTGGACAAACTTTCCTTTCGAGTTTACTAAATGAATATGAGAGATCAATGACAGTTCAAAATCAGTCATAGTTGTATGTCAAGCGTTCTGTTTGTTCCTTTGACTGAGCGGTCAGTCCTTGGGGAGAACTATGCATGGAAAAGTGAAAATATGGGCATACTTTCCTTCTAGTTAACTCAATCACAATAATTTACCATAGTGTTAAGCACTGTATTACATGTTCAAGACTTGTTTTGTTTTGTAAATTTCACCTTCCTGATTTGGTTCTATGTTGAAATTGATAAATCTATGGGGAAAAAAACTGAAAAACTCCTCCTATCATGATTGATACACTCAAATATCGTCAATTATTCGTGTTGTAATAACTGCTTAAAGAAGAGTTCACCAGTTTTGAGACTTGTCCCAGAAGCCGCAACGGAGCCATCTTTGAACAGTTTCCAGGATCCAGAGTTATTCTCCCAAGTAACACAGATGTGGTGCCACTTTCCATCGTTGGCAGAGACGGAAGAAGAACTTCTGTAGAAGAACAGCACAAAAAGTACGTTATAATAATAAATCCATCCTACAAAGATATAATTATCATTAACTCCATCGGACGTACATTTTTATCAGTGAGACAGATTTTGAATCTGATGTGCATTCAATCCTTTTAAGAAGACCTTAACATGCGATGGGTTGCAATCAACGGTATTAACTTCAACCCAATGCTCCACCGACTTGCATTCATTTCATCAAGAATGAACTTCTCCGAACAATTAAAGAGGTAAACATTGTACCTTCTTCCTCCCACAGATAATCCCAATTTCTTATAGTTCCACAAAGTCAATTCGTTGTGTGTTCCAGGAACAGCATAGCTCAGTTGTGTTCCTTCATTGTCGGTATCAGCGGTTTTCATCCAGAGACAAACAGCCACTGCTGTAAGGCTTGGCATACTACTTGTGATGATGATATAGTCACTAGTTCCTTTACGCGAAAATTCAAAGGCGTAATCTGCAACTGTATATGAGATTCACAAAGATGTAAATATCAGGCCAGCCTGCTAGCTCGACCAGGATTAACTTGTGGGTTGAGTTTGTTGATGGCTCTCGTCCTTGCTTTGAGGGTTTTACTCTGAGCTATCGGGTTTTCCTCCCTCGACGAAACACTACTCTTCAAATTCCGACTCGAAACATTGGACGAGGGTTACACCTCGTGGAATGTCAGCCGCTAAAATTATCATCATTGTCATATTGATATTATTAGTATCATTATTAATGGGTAATGAAGAACCAAAACTGGCTAAAAATTTGAATTTGAATTTGTCTTAATCACCATCACTTGTGAAAAATTGTTTCAATTGAAAAGAAAAATTTAACTTTTTTGATTCATTAGTTTTCCAAAAAACTTTTTCTGTGTGTGTGATCTAACTTCGTAACTGCGGGAATTTTTAGGGCACAGCAATATGGCCCACGGTTATACGATAGGGAAGAGAATTGCTACAAAGATAAGATCTTCCAGGATCCTCACGTGCCCATAATTTTGAGCATACTTACATGTATCACAATGCTTCCCAGTAAAATCCGGTGTACAATTGCAGAGATGATCATTTTGTTTAAAGTCAGGAATGCATTTTCCACTATTATTGCAAAGCCAGTTCTCACAGGGCGACTATTTCATAAAAAAATTAAAGCATCTTCTTTCAATTTTTAATTTAATTGTCAAGGTCGAAGAAAACGATGATTGCTTAAGACACTGGTTGTATTCAAGAATAATTGTTTGAGTGAATGATAGTTCCACTCAATTACACAAAACTCAAACGTATAACTGTGTTGAAACAAACGTGAAAGGCACGAACGCGTACGACTACACTCAAACTACACTGAATTGAGCTACATCTGATAAATTAACCACTCACCATGGGGCTAAAATGATGGAAGCTAGAATTAGCTTTAAGTCTGTCTTTAGCTCTGTACATGTCTGTGGCCAGCACCTCACATACATAGATACCATTAGAATCTGGAGATTTGGCTATATTATATGACAAGCACTTGGGATCCCCAACACAGCTGAATGAACAATCCGATGCATCTTCAACAAAAAGTGACTCTGTTATTGATACCAAGAGACTTTGGTTGTGGTTACGTTTGAATTTTCCATATTTTGTTCGCGAGTCACGATGTAGAGAACTTTGCATAAATGCGGTAGTCGTACTTGACAAATACAAAACAGTGACCAATACAAAAGAAATCCGATAAGTCATCGTAAACGCCAAAGAAATATTTTCTACCCAAGAATCTAAATAGGCAGGATCTGATCTCTCACGATGTTTCCGATTAATTAAACAGTTCACACAGAAGTCTTGAATTTTAATTAGGATAATTATGACGAGAGTTAGCAAATAAACTTTCAATAACATTCAGTGGATCATGCGGTTTAAGTCCATTCTTGAGTCTCGACTTTTAAAATAATCAAACGTGAAAATAAAAAGCAACACCTATGGCTAATTATTATCGAAATCCCTTCTAGATGCTATAGGTCATTTTTTGTGTTTTTTTTTTTATTTTTTTTTTTTACTAAGACAGAACCGTTTGGTGAAACCGCTTTTGGACTGAATATTAAAAAAAGTCTTAACGAATGCCCTTCCCTTTGTATATTTTTTACCCTGTGTAATAAATTTATGGTAACAAATACATCTTTCCCGAATCAATATGTGGGAGAAAAAATATCTAAACTGAGTCACTGAGTGATCTATTGTTTGTAAAAGGTTTCAATAACTCTATTTACAAGAGCACGCCATGAAACCGAACTATGTTTAGAAGACGCCATACTTTATCTTCGGTTTAATCAAATTCTTCATACTAATGAGGCCACAAGCGCACTTTGTGACAACAGTTCTTCCAAATCTACCATTGAAATAACAAAGAATGATAAAAAGAATGTGTCGGCTGGGTTTAGCAACAAGGCAGAATGAAAGAGATAGTTTAGAAAAAAATGAAGACGTGGAAGGTTACGAAGCAGCAAATCGAAATCCATAGGGAATATATGTGTTCTGTATGATATCATTTCTTGTATCTGCAGATCGTAAATTACATAAAGATGGACTCAACGGCCAAGAGTGCTTTTGTGAGTTTAGTCAGTAAACTAACGGAGAAAAACTATGATGAGTGAAGATACATGAAGAAGCAAAGAACCGATCAATAAAATTAGCTCTTTGCAAAACTAAAAAGTCAGAGGAGAAAGAGAACATTTGGATTTATGACTTGCCATTCCAACAGGAAGCATTTCTTTTGCATAAAGGAGGCCACATTGTAAGCTTTTCAGGGGTCTATCGTTTAGTCTGGTGGAGAGAAAAGTTAAAGCTGGTTTCAAATGAAATCATACACGATCAATGAGATAATGTCCCGCGCTCGTAGTAACCATTACAGTGTCCAGTAAAGGGGTTATCATTCTAATATTATTTCATTTTTTAGCCTTCCAAATACATCGAACGGCATAATGAGACTCCTATCAATTATGCAAGGTGTGCTCATAACAAAAACAGCACAAACGAAATCATGGTAGTTACTTTATAAGAAACCAAGAAAGTTTTATTATTTACGATTTCGTCCTCCAAAAAGTAAAAAAAATCGGAGTTTGACGATGTAGTAGTACGGACCGAGCGCAGCCAATATTCCCAAGGGCCAATATTTCCCAGTGCGGTTCGACCGAGCCAGGTTAGTAAGAATTTTATTACGTGGCGCTGAACCAAACTTGCTTATTTTTTATTTTTTGGCCTTCGGCCTATGAACGTTTCCGTCGAAATGATCAGTATGGCAAAATATGGACAAAGTAAGAAGCAATCAGAAAGCTTGGATTTAACTTAATACTACCTTGCCATATAACAACGTCGCCCTAATATGGTTAAATGGCGCAATATTGGAATAATGTTGTGCAACATTTCCTGAATTGAGGATAAAGTTAGAGTTACAAAATTGAAAATGTTTGATCAAAAGAAGTATAAAGTACCCTGTTATTCGCGCGTTTTTGTTTGATTTTGTTTGGGTGATTTTGCATATCCAATTATCTTAAAGTCAACTGCACCGCTAACCGATAGAAATACTTGGTACATACTAGCCGGCATATGTCCACAAAGAATATGATGGGGGAGTTCTCGTAAAATTGGGTCAGTGTTCATATCGACCCCGGCAGGTGGGTGAAATACGGATAAAATCTTAAAATTTTGTACCTAAGATTAAAAAGTAACAAATCCATTAGTTGAAATTCACTTTATTCCTTCCGAATAATTGTGACTCCCACTTTTGACTTGATTTTCACCCAAGGCACCAATTAAAGGGTTTGTCAGCCTTATCACAAAGTGGATACTTCGATCGTCCTATTGGGCCAATAAGGTTGTATTTCGGTTGTATTCAACAGAAACTAGGTGGGCAGACTATAAAAGTTGTAAATCTTTTAGTTCATGGCCATCTCCTAACAACGACGATTAAAACTCTTTCTCATAGCAAGAATTTGGATTTTTTAATTTGAATACATTGGTATGCTATACATATTGGTGAAGTTTTTATGTTTTTATCTAAAGGCTTCCTTAACTCTTTAACTCCCAGATCAAATTTGTAACTCTCTTTACTGTCAACCATACAATTCTTATAATGTTAGTTCAGAGAATTTAGTATTGGATCAAATAATTATCCCCAAATTGATATTTTTCTTTATTCTCATCAGTTATATGGTTGATATTGTATTGACATTGTAAGGAGAAATTCTGTCTTGGTCACTCGAGGGAGTTAAAGGGTTAAGCTGCCAAACTATGACAACGTTACCTCTAGTAATATAAATAACAAGTAACTGCATCCTAAATTTTGTAACAATATCCGGATCGTGACATTCACAATTTTTAATGAGATCTCGATTTAATAATTTGCGAAACATGTTGCGGTTTTTCTCACATCAGCCTTCGTCAGCGGTAAATGTGTCAACTCGTTTTTGCGTTGAGTAAGAGTTAGTTTAAGCAGAAATTTTGCGAAGGTAGAATTTGAATAAGGAATCTACAGCACTGTTTCTTCTGTTTCTCTAGACTGATGATTTCGAAGGGGCAAATCAAGGAAGTTGAAACGTTTTCGATTCAGTTTAAATAGTTGCGATATACCAGCCCTTAATTCAGGTATCCGCAGGGCGTAAACTATGGGATTAATCAAGGAGTTTGCAAAGTATATGATTTGCACTAAGATATGAACATGAAAACTCGCTATCTGGGATAAAGGAAACTGACTTGATTCCCCGATGTGCAAAGCGATTACTAGGCTTTGGTGTATTATAAGTGGAAGCCAAGTTACCATCGATCCAAAAGTAACAACAAACAAGGTATTGGTCAGTCTCCTTTCTCTCTGTCCGGCTGCACCATGGTGTTGAGGATGACGACCGCAACGCACTTTGACAACTAAACAGATATATGAGACTAAAATAACGAAGAGAGTCATAAAGAAATATGAAAAGTAAGCAATTTCCGAATTTAGAGGATCTGAAATAAAGATTTGTTCTGTCGCCAGTAAACCAGTGGTTAATAACCAAATTAAAGTTATAATTATCATATAAACCCATTTTTTTGTATGGCGATGCCTGACTGGACAAAATGTTGCACGCAGTCGTTCTAAAGAAATAACCGCAAGACTTAGCAGGGAAACAACTGGGAAAATGCCGAGTGTGATTTTTACGCGAATTGACCATTGATTCATCCAGTCGTTCCTCCACAGATTGCAAAATGACGCCATTTTAAGTTCGATTCGTAAAGGCCCACTGATTGCGCCAACTAACAAATCGACTATGGCCAGATGGATAATCAGATATGTGCTCTGTCGTTGTAGCTTGCGCTGCTTCACGAATACGATAACAGCGATGATATTAAGAAGGACTATGGCCAGGCATTCAGTGATGAAGACAACAAGCCATGGAATACAATGTGCGAGAGGAACTAACATCAAGTCTTCTTGGCTTGAGGTGTTATGAGTATTGTTGCTGAACTTGTTAGCCATTTAGTTTCGCCAGTTACTTGGAAACCAAAGAATTACCTAAAGTAAAGAAGAAAAAGCTTTCTGAAATTTACCTACATTCCTAAATTTTCCTTTGTTCCTTGCTGACGCCTCTTCCGGTATATGTTTTCAGGAAGCAAAAATGAATGCGGGCATATTTTAATCTCATTTCTATTTTGTTCCTTATCATAATCATGTGTCATAAACTTTCAGTTCATTTGGCTGGTCGAAATATAGCCGCGGAATACTGATTAAAAAGACTACAAAAACTCATCGATATTCAGTCGGCACGATGGGTTTTTTTACAGTTGTCCTTTTTTCTTGGTTCTGTGAAAAAAAACTTGCTTACAGAAGCACGATAGAAACAGGTGAGAAAATATCGTTTACCGTTACCTTGCATTTGATATTTGCGATTGTAAACTCACAGATGAGTGACTTCTGCGAAAAGATCTGAAATTTAGAACAACCGCATTACAAAAATTAGCAAAAAAAAATATTTGAAGAATTTCTGGCCCATCAAAACATTGTATGATATGTTCATTCAAAGACATTTCAAGACATTTAAATACTGGTTTCCAGGCTAGAATCTCTTACGTTTGGTTTTGAACGACAGGACACCTCACTTTCGTTCTTTATGTTCAAGAAAATAAACGGAGTGATTCCAAAGTTGAGACATGTCAGGTAAATATGGGAATCCGTTTTTTTTGCCTTATTATGTTGTTCAGATTAACCAGCTGAAAACATCTGATAAACACACCAAAACAGACTAACAGTCATTATCATCTAATTTCATTTGTCTAAATTACGTCTCTTTTCATTTAAGAGTCTTCTGATAAAGACAAAGTCGAAAGAAAAGAGAAAATTAGAAAAGAATAGAAACGAGAAACTTTTTTTCAAAACCAATGCCTTTATTCAAAGCACTTTGATGAAAACTCGGTACCAGAAAAATTTGCTTGTGTTGCTGCTTCACAGTTATAGATGGGTATCTCACCATTTACCAATTAATCAACTGATGTCTGTGGTATTTTCCACAAATAGAATTACTATTAATGAAAAATGTACCATTAAAATTAACTATAACTTCCTTTTTTCGTAATCTCTCGTATAACATGATGTTTTTAAGGCGCCCTGTCCTTTCTATTTTCGCTGTTCTTTTCATGGTGTCAAACAGTGAACTAGGAGAAAATAAGCCAATGAAGACAAGGTTCGTGACACAATGTATGCATAAGATTAATAAAAGTCTGAGTAGCCAGACGTTTATCGGTGAATTTAGGCTTATTTTAGGCACAGCTGTTAGATAAGGAAAAAGAGTGGGTTGATAATAAAACGTCTTCTAGAATATTGCATTTCGTAGTAGTAGTAGTAGATTGGCCCAGGTTCGAGAAAATAGAGTAGATGATTTTAAAAAAAAAGATGCATTATGGTGAAAGGTAGCGGTCTCTTTTAATCATGCATGAAGATAATTACAGCATGCAGGGCATTCGTTAAGCTAATAGCGCTCAACGACTGAAGTATTTTTTTAACAACAAACTCTAATTGCCACATATAGAGATGGCTCTCTTTTGTTAAAAAATATTTCTTGGAGAGTAAAACTCAGGCACAAAATTTACTTACGCGCTTATGTTTTCTATCAACCACGCGATTTCGACGCTTAGTTTACAATTCAGGTTAACCTGAACAAAGAGGAATATTTCGCTCAAATAAATAATGAAACCATCGAAGTCATCTTTGAATTGGAAGTTTTTGGCATAGAATGAGAGAAGCTGGCAAACTGAACCAATCAGGAACTCCTTGCCTATTTCGTGAGATAAATAAAAAACATGGTCGTATTAACCTTGTTTTTTTTTTCCACTAAAGAAGGGTCTCTTGATTATTGCATGGTGAAATTTACGAAAAATTGCTCTTTGGTCTCAAAGTTCTAGCAATTTTTCTCTTCTAGAAGACAACGCTGTAAAGAATGGCTCAAACTGTCGGGCGAAATTTCTTTAAAAATTCGTAACATAGGGCGAATTTTATGGAATTTTCTTTCAGTATTCTTGCACAAATCTCTAGGTCCCTTATAATAAATGAAATGCTCAGTTAAAACCTTATGCTAAGTTATATTCGGTTTGGCTAAATTAACGCGCGTAACGGCCAAGGCACAAAGCTTCGGCACATGCGCATTGGTGTTGCGACATTATGCACATAACAGAGTGCTGCTGCTGTAACCATACCTATTAGAAAGAAGGACTTAAAGCCTTTGAAGTTGTTATGTTGACATTAGAAAACTGTTTTGAAATGAAACAGTCACAAAGACGCCAAATACGGAGGTTTTGCTCAGCGACTAGTTCCGGCATAACACTTAAGCTGTTATTTAGACTTGTATTTAAGGCACTCTTCTCTTTGCTTAACCCTCAATATTTGCATACAACAGGAAATGAAGTTTAACTTGGTAAATGGCTTCCTGTTCACCTGCAAAATATCATTTAGCTCGATGTGTTGGCTGAAGAACTTAATTCTGGCCTCTTAGACTAGTTAATGTGCTTTGCATGAAAGTTCCTTCCTGTCATTCTTTTTAAATTCTGATTACAACAAAATTAACAAAACCTTTTTGGACCATGTCTGTGGGACGTTTCGTGGATTCTAGATTTCTAGTCTCTTAACACCACATACGTAAAGAATGCGTAATGACTTTCGTTTTGACAGATTTTTTTTGTTTACTTCAGAATTGTTTGTAGATATCTAAAAATAACAAGAAAAACAAACCTTGATGCAACATTTTGGGGGCTACTTGCTGGAATATCGTGTGCTTGGAAAAATAACGTAATTCTTTTAGAAATATCTCCGCACGTTCAAACCTTCTTGCTTTTGTGCATACCCGAGAAAAATAATAAATTTCTCAACTCTCATCGTGTAAAGAGATCATATAAATTACGTTTCGCTTTTGTAACCGAAAGGAGTCACCATCTTCAAATAACACATCTTATTCTTAGATAAAAGTTTATGAATTACCCACTTCATAGACCTCAATATCAGTGAATTGAAAATTACAGATCTCAAATAACATAATAAATTTAAATTTCCTCTCGGCGTAAAAATGTCATTGAACACTAAGGGTAAACAATTGTTTTCTGTCCTCTCACCTTTTTACATATTTGTTATTCATTTGCTGTAGCTACTTCATTTTCAACTTTAATTCTAAACAAGAGATTTCCGTGAAGCAATGAATCAACAGAGTTTGAACAATTTCAAATAAGATCAATATATAATATACCAAAACTGCGTATATGATTTACCAGCGAGTTGGCAAAGTAGACGATTTGGACTGTAATATGAACATTAAAACGTCTTTTTGGGGGTAGTTGAAGACTTGATTACGCATAAAGTTACCTGCGCTTGAAGTAGAAAAATCTTGTACGATTTTTCTTTATTGCTTGCCAGAATCTCGTCTTCTGGTCCACAAATTAAATCAACTGTAATAGTTGAACTTCAGCCTCACCGCAACACGGACCATGCGCTCGCCATTTTTTATGTCAACTGCGCATGTCCTTATAGTCCCTAAATACCGGGGCTCTAGACCCTTAAACTTTAAACCTGCAAATGCAAATCTTGGCAAGTATGAAAATCTCATTCATGGTGAAGTTTTCACTTCTTGATTATTTTATTGTAAACTACGTTTGAAACTGTCAAATTGTTAAGCTTCGTTTTTCCATACTACTAGGTAGTTCGCGTATATCTTTTCTTAAAAAATTTCGAGACGCTGGAGACTTTAATACGATCACACTAAGACGATCAATAACAACATAGACGATGATCCTTCAATCACAGACGTCGAGCCCGATTAACACCCACTGTTCTTGAAATGAGCCCGCAATCCTCCTGCTCAGTCGGAAGTAAGACCGCACTCGACCATGTTCGAGCTTCACACGAACTTCTGCTTCTGTGTGGACCTGATAGATCTTTCGGGCAATTCGTTGTTGGTCTCAATAGCGTTTTTTTCATTTTTTTCTACTTTAAAACGACCCGAGTAATGAGGGACATTAAAGAAAAAGCAAATGCACATTCGTTACAAATTTAGAAGAGGGTGCCACTCATCGCCAGAAATCGACACAAAAAGATCTCCCTCGAATTCGACAACATCAAGATTCTGTAACCATTCCCAAATCTTCAAATGGCAAGAGGACGAACGCGCTCACAGTAATTATAAGTCTTGGATCCTACACCCTAAGTTCGCTGAGTTTAGAAAACAAAGGAATCTTAGCATTTGGGTAGACATGACGCGATTTTCTCAGTTGTGTCCTTTAGTTCTATGAGATGAAGCAGCACAAAAGAGCATGACATCTGATGAGAAATTAGTGTTATTTACCTTTCGGTGTTTCAAGGAGGATTATGCGCTATCCTGTTCTCAGGTCGCAGTTCTATGAGAATACCACTTAAAGCTAAATAAGAACAAAAATGATAAAATTTCTCAAATAGATGTACATGGCTTTGTTAAGGAAAGAAGAATTTAGATCAGACATGATATTCTTTCAAAGATACGACTATTAAAGCGTTTTTGTTTAGTGAGTAACAAATGGAAACTATCAAATTTGCATTTATACGGCCGAAAATTCCACTTAACTTACTTTCTTTGAGATCCAGAAAAATCTTCCCAGGGTGTCCAATGTTTCGGGAACAGCTTGCCAAATAAACTGGCAAGCCTTACTCACCACGTTTATATCGTATCATGAATTAAGCAGGTGAAATCCAAAGTCAAACAGAAATTATGTGGAAAATAATTCCCCAATCATTGAGCCCCCTTATAAGAAAAATGTGTTAGCTTCATTGTTTGACAGTTAACCTCCAACAGAGTCTGCATTAAGGTTGCTACAAACTTTCTCAGATATCTTCCGGAGAAAACTTCGTAGGTACACTGTTTTTCAGGAAACACAAATATATAATATATCCTTAGCAATTTTGTTGAATTCAGAATTCGATTAAACTATAAGGTATTTGATTTTTCCTCCTTTAATGCCAACGAAGCCGATAAACAGTAAAATTACTGAACACAATTCTGACGAATTTATCCGTTATCAAGCGTGATCTCCGATGCTGTGTTACTGCATAGTGTTATAGAAAGAAAGTCACTCCCTCTAGGTCAGAAAGCATCTCTCCGTATTACCATTGGTTTTTCTTTTAATAGAGCTGTCAAGCTCTAGTGTCGCGAAAATTGCAAGCATGCTGCGTTCCAAAGCCTCAAAAAAGGGGTGCATTTGTTTGAAAAGGGAGGCCGACACAACTGAGTTACTCGTTATTCAGTTCATGTTCTGTTTAAATTTCGCAACATTTCGTCAATTTTACTTTCCCTTTTAATTTGTTTGAAGAAAATACCATTTTTAGAAATCATTTTGCGAGTTTTCGACTCCTTATCGTTAAGAGGCATTTCACGCTCTCACAGAAAACTATGTTAGCACCTGGCTCACACTGT